CCAAGATTTTAACATGCTGGTTCAAAAGTCCAAATTGTATCTGTGTCACTCTCCAGTCAATTTGAGAATTCTTCCTATTTGTAAGTGTTGCAATAGAAAAAATGAATATTTTTGTCAAGGCAAAGTAAGTTGAACTCTTGGGTGATTTCATATAAATGTGACATAATGTGCTTGGGACGTGATGAAAGACTCTAACCTTTCAATAATTGTTTAAATTGCTTCTAATTTTTTGATGTTATATACTTATTTATTCAATTTCTTTAGTCTTCCACCTCAAACCAGTTACTCTAGGAAATGAACAATCATAAACAGTCATAATATTAACATGTTAAAACAGTATAGTATAGTGATTCAAGTCCTAGTGGTGAAGATGCTCACCTCCAACTTGAAGGTTGAGAGTTCAATCTTAGGCAGCTGCATATATTTCTCTCCTAGGGCACAAAGAAAAAAATATCTACTGTGAACTTCATGTGACATCTAGAAGGGCAGCTGGCACTCAGCTCCACCCAGTCCTCCTGACTCTATCCTGAATTAAGAGATCAAAAGGGAGTTTTTAGGATAGTGATTCATGTGTTGAACTAGAAATGGGATCCCAGATTCCGACCAATCCTTATTGATGGGTGCTCCCCAAGATTCATCCTTCTCCTTCCAACCTCCTTCACTCAGTGTTATTGTGGGGGAAAAGGGGAAGACAAAATTCCTGGTACATTCTCTTGTGGTCTTGGAAAAAATTCAGTGTAGAAATCTAACAAAGAAAGAAAGATATCGCTCATTCTTTTCTATCATTCTTCATAGCCTAGTACCACTATATAAGATGTACCACTATATACCGCTATATAAGATTTCTAAAAAAATGAATACCCTCTGTTTAATTTGAGAAATGCAGCAATTGCTATGTGACTTTTATGAGGGGAGCAAATCAGAGATAGTATTCAGCAGGTTTTGACCAGTTCTGGAGAACCGGTAGTGGACATTTTGAATAGTTCTGAGAACCGGCAAATACCACCTCTGACTGCCCCTGCCCCCATCTATTCTCTGCCTCCCGAGTCCCAGCTGATTGGCTGGGTCTTCTTTGGTTGCCCTGCACAGGACAACAGAGCTGCAAAGCAGGTTAGTGGGGTGGGGAGGAAATGGGGATTTTACAGTATCCTTCCCCTGCCATGCCCACCAAGCCATGCCCACAGACTCTGACTGGCCCTGCCCCCATCCATTCTCTGCCTCCTGAGTCCCAGCTGATTGGCCGGGTCTCCTTTTGTTGCCCTGCACAGGAGAACGGAGCTGGAAAGCAGGTTAGTGGGGTGGGGAGGGAATGGGATTTTTCAGTATCCTTCCCCCAGGAGTGGGGAGGGAAGGTGGATTTTGCAGTCTCCTTCCCCTGCCACGTCCACCAAGCCATGCCATGTTCACCAAGCCAATCCCACAGAACCGGTAGTAAATTTGTTTGAATCCCACCACTGGAGCAAATGGAAACCAGAAATTGGTGAGATTTGGAGTTGAGGAAACAGAGGCCCAACATTGATTCTTGCAATTTCTTTTTTTATTAAATACTTTATTCAATTTTCAAAATTTAAAAACATAAAATGAAACTTTATACATCATTGTTGCAATCTCAAAGTTCACAATGCTAAGCACATGCACAATACTCAGATCTGTTGGTGCCTTGCTCTTCTTCTCATCACTATATTTCAATTAACTTCCCCAATCTGGTGTCCTCCATATAAAGTATATTCAGGCATGCCAATTTCTTCCTTCCAAATGAACAAACCCTTCTTGGCTGAAACCAAACCTGGTTATAGTGATGAAGAATTTTTTCTTGGGTTGGTTCCTCTTATTTCCTCCTTATATATATTTGAGATCCTGTTTTTCAAATAATGAATTAAAGCTTTCCCATAATGGAGCCTGTGGTCTATTTACTAACATATTATTATTGCTTAAAAAAAAACTCTTTAAAAGGACGTACACTTATGTATATTATAATCATATAATAAATATGATGATGATATTCAATCAGTCATGTCTTCTTCCTCATATCTATTACATGAACATAATAAACAAAAATATACATTATTTTGCTATTAATATGACCAATGAAGGATGAATAGGTAAATTTTGTTTGATGTTTTGGTCCAAAGATAGAACATTATGTAAGTAGAAACTCAGATGGAGATTATATATGTTTCTTCTCTAGGGCAGGGGTGTCAAACTCAATTTCATTGAGGGCTGTGATTGACTTCTGGGGGCCAAAGGGCATGGCTGGCTGGATGGCTGACTAGGTGGGCATGGCCAGCTTGATGCCACTCCCCAAACTGCTGGCATGTTCTTCTTTGCATTGAGTAAACCGGCCTGAAGCTTCGCTGGCTGATCTTTCTTCTCTGCATCGGGTAGACTGAACCAAAGCTTCATTGGTTTTCCTCTTCACACCAGGTATATTGGGCCAAAGCTTCGCTGGCCTGATCTTTCTTCTCTATATTTGGTAGAACAGGCCGAAGCAACATGAGAAGACCTGAAGCAACACGAGTAGACTGGGCCGAAGCAATGTGGGTTAGACCGGGATGGCCCCCCAGGTCAGATCCAACCACATCATCGACTGGATCCAGCCCACGGGCCTTGAGTTTGACACCCCTGCTCTAGGGCATCACTGATCAAGATTGGATGTGGATGATTCCAAGCACACTGGATTATCATAATGAATTTACTTTGTATCATGATGTGTTTCAATAAAATCAATCTTAATCCCTTTTCTTGGGTTGCTGTACACTAAAAGGGTATATTATTATGGTTAAGGAGTTGGGCTGGGAATGGAGACCCTTTTAATCATTTTTGTCCTGAGACCTCATGAATGACTTTGGGTCAATCACATCCCATACCATGAATGGTTCTTGTACAGAAATATTTGTGGTATACCTGAAAGAAAATCATTTTTCACATTCTTGTCCTTCTATTTTCTAAATAGTATCATTTACACATAAGAGACCTTATCTCCAGAGCTTTCCAAATGTTACAGATGCATGAACTTTTTATCTATTGTAGAGAACACATAGAACCTGGAAAATGATAGAAGTGGAGAAGCTAAAAAGGTGCCCTGGAACACAGTTAGTGAATGAACCTTATATGGTGTGATATTTTCAAGTCTATGTATGCTAACATCTTATTGACCATCTGAACTGACTTACTCTGTCCATTCTACATCTGACATTTTATGACCACTCCACTCTTGAACAATATTTGACTGCCACACATAATATCATAATATACCAGAGTTGAAAGGGGACTCTTGGGTCATTTTGGTTTGAGAATAAAAAATTAAGTATCTTAAACAAATATTGAAATTTAAATATAACCACTCAGAGAAAGCCCTAAATCTTCAGTGCACATGAATTAAGGGAAAATGGGACTGGGACACAACAAGCTTCTTGATTGCATGTGTTACATGACAAAATCATCTACTACACTTCATTGGATGATAACTTCCCAATGCCTATGTCTATGGAGATTCTCAGTCTCCAGGTCATGGTTGTCCCAAATGTGCTTCTTCAGTGGTCCTCCAAATTTGCATTGGCACTTGACTCAGATCCAAGGCATATCAATTTTGAGCATATTCTAGGTGTAATACATGAACACTCATGGGAAATTAAAGGGAAACATCCATAGAGACTGTTTTCCATAGTTCTGTAGAGAAGTAAATAAACCTTCTATGATGCAATCTGCTAGATGCTCTTTAAATGTTAACGAATATATTTCTGAAGAAGTCTATTATTTTCCCCTGAACACCTGATGCATAATTTTTTATGCATCATTATCTTCATAAATGGATGAAAAGATGGTATGGTACGTTCTGTACTTGGAGAAGACAAGACAGGTAATGAAGTAAGAACAAATCAAGGTAAGGAACAAAGATGATTAGGGGACTGGAGACTAAACATATAAAGAATGATTGCTAGAACTGGGTATGGCTAGTCTGATGAAAAGAAGGACTAGGCATTGCATAATAGGAGTTTTCCAATATCTCAGGGCCTATCACAAAGAAGAGAGAGTCCAAAGCACCTGAAGGCAGGATAAGAAGCAATGGGTAGAAACTAGAAGCAAACTAGGGAGAAATTTCCTGACAGTTAGAACAATTAATCAGTGGAACAACTTGCCTCCAGAAGTTGTGAATGCTCCAACACTGGAACTTTTAAAGAAGAGATTAGATAACCATTTGTCTGAAGTGGTGTAGAGTTTCTTGCCTAAGCAGGGGTTGGACTAGAAGACCTCCAAGGTCCCTTCCAATTCTGTTATCCTGTCCTGTCCTGTCCTGTCCTATCCTATCCTATCCTATCCTATCCTATCCTATCCTATCCTATCCTATTGTATTCTAGAGAATAGAAACAGGACATGAAACAGAATGTCACTGTAAAAATAACTATGACTTCCTAGCATATACAACCCACCCACCCACACCCACCCAAAGCTTTTATAATGTTTTTATTTCTTTATTGGCTTTACATTTCTAATGTCATTTATCTTTTTTCATATTTCTATCATAACCCATGGTTTGTATCCCTCTCTTCTTTAGATAATTAACAGTGTCAACAAAATTCTTGCAGCGTGTATGTAACTCTGTCAATTTCCAAGTTCTAATATGTATCAAAATATTTCAACTGTAGGCTATATCCACCAAAGATGTCACTATATTTTTAAGATTCCCCAAATAGCAAATTTCCAACAGTGACAAATTTCACATATGACACTAATTTCACGTAATGTTTCTTTGATTCTGGCCTCATATGTTTTGGGATTTCAGTTATGGGCCTTTAGTGGTCATATCTTATAATGAAATATGTGTATTTAATTTCAGCTATTATAACTACACATAATCTTTGTTTCCTTGATGTGTAAATTCACTGTTGTCTTCTCCATGTTGAACTCATAATGCTAGTTTTCAAAAGAGGATTTTACAAATTTGGCTAAATCTTGAATCAAAGAAGATTTCATATTTTCTTTTTTTGTAACAGAAGAACATGAATTTGACCAATTGTAGAAGAACAACTGAATTTATTCTTGTTGGATTGCCACGTGTTGTAGGAATGGAAAGGGTGATGTATGCCAGTGTCTTTCTGCTCTATGTCCTTTGTCTGATGGGCAATGGCCTCATCATTATGATGGTAATAAGGGATCGTCATCTCCAGAAACCCATGTATTTCTTCCTTAGTAACCTTTCTTTGAAGGATATTGGACACACTACAACTTTTATGCCCAAGCTGTTGTTCAATTATGTCTCTTCTAACAATTCAATTTGTTTTTATTGCTGTTTAATACAATTATTCTTCTATTTCCTTTTTGGAGTCACTGAATTTTTCATTATCACTTTTATATCGTTGGATAGATATTTAGCCATTTGCCATCCTTTGAGATATTCCACTATCATGACTTCAAGGATTTGCCTTAAACTGTCAATATTCACCTGGTTTGGAGGATTTTTGTCCATTATTTGCCAGGTAGTAATGATTGCAAAGTTGCCCTATTGCACTTCCAACATTATCAATCATTTCTATTGTGATGTTGGACCTGTGCTGAAAATTGCAGGAGGAGATACACATCTTATTGAAGACCTTGGCTTTCTCCTTGTTGTGGTCTTGATTATGTCCTCCCTGCTTTTCACCCTCATTTCTTACCTCTTCATCCTACACACTATTCTTCAAATACCTTCAACCTCCAGACAGCAGAAGGCCTTTTCTACATGTGCTTCTCATCTGGTTGTGATCTGCATTCTGTATGGATCGGTCTTTTTTGTCTACTTAAGACCTACTGTCAAAAACTCTTCCTTCAGTACGATGAAGTCTGTATCCATATTATACACGATTATCACCCCTGTGCTCAATCCTTTCATCTACACTATCAGGAACAATGAAGTGAAGGATTCTGTACGCAAAATGCTAGGAAGGAAAATTCCAGATCCCTGAAGAAGTATCTCCAACCTAATCTTATGTGAAGTGATTCCATTTTTAAGCAGGTTTCTTGAAAATAAAACATGAGGTTAACTTGTCTTTGGAAGGACTCCTCTACATCTGTGTTTCTCCTGGTTGGGGTGTGCTAGAAATATCAATCAAGATTGTCGCGATATGTCAAACTTGCCTGCATTAACCCATTAAACCCATTGCCTGAGATATTTGGCCATATATTGTGTTAGTCACAAATGGGGTTGTATGTCTATGTTTGGGCCTGGTGAACAATTAAACTATTTTGTTTAAAGAGTTTTCAATGTTATATACCACCTAGAGTTATTACTGGATTAGGCAACTTTAGAAACCAAATAAATAAATAAATAGACTCAATTTTATTCAGTGCACAATTTTACTTATTTTCTAAATAATTTCCCCAAACTTCTGTATAGTTAAACAGTATTTTTGAGAAATATATATTTCCCCAGAACTAGAAAAACAGATAAATAGGGAAAAGGAGGGGGGAATGTAAAGAAGAGTAACTAAGAGGATTAAAGGCCTGGAGACTAAAACATATGTAGAACGGTTGCAGGATTATAGCAGTGCTCTATTATTTGAGAGGTTGCCACAAAGAGGAGGGAATCAACTTATTTTCCAAAGCACCAGAGGGCAGGACAAAAAACAATGGCTGAAAACTAATCAAGGAGAAAAACAACCTTGCTTGCTGTCAGAAGTTGTGGGTGCTTCATCACTTTTTAAGTTTTTAAGAAGAGACCGGATAATCATTTTTCTGAAATGGTACAGGGTCTCCTGCTTGAATGAGAGTTGGACTAGAAGACCTCCAAGGTCCTTTCCAGCTCTATTCTAATTGAAAGCTGTTTCCTGAGTGTCCTTCCTTTTGTAGTTGCCCAATGGAAGAGGTAATGCTGGTTCAAAAATCCAAAATAGTATAGCTCTAAAGCTCACTCCATATATTGCTTCCTCATGTCCACGTGCTAGGATAATGCAACAAGAACATTTGTCCATGCGAATTTATTATACATCAAATGTAAACTTAATCTGTCTTTTGAAGGAGGCCTCTATGCTTATATTCTTTCAAGTGAGTAGTGCCAAATATATTATGGAAGATTCTTGAGATATTTCACATTGCCTATCGAAACACAGAGGGAAGAGTGAGCAACATTCAAATGGAAGGCAATGTCAGGGTTCTGATGGATGCCCTAATTAATTCATGAGCCTCGAGCCAGGTTTCAAAAGAAATCCAATTGTTTATTAGGAACAACATGTCGGCACTTTCCTAAGTGCAGTCAGCTCTGCCCCATGTAATTTACTGCCCACCTATGATCCTGTTTCCCCCCTCCTCCCAGGATGTGTCATAAATCATATTCTCCAATGAGGCACTTTTGCAGGCTGTAGAAAATATGCCTCTCCAGCTGGCTCTAGTGACATGGGATACAATCTGGAGAAAGGTATGCATGAAATGTATTTCTGGTCATAGCAACCAAACTGCTCCATTAGTTCTCCCCCCTCCTGCCTATGGCAACTCGAGAGCAGGCCAGGAATGCTTGACAGGTTGACAGGCAACTTTTTCTCTTTGATGAAAACATTATTCAAAACATACATATAAAATGAAATTAAGAAGCCATGATCAGTGGGATTTCAGATTGGGATATAAAACTGAGATTGTATCAACTATGCTTTTCAATGTCAGTTGGGAAGGCATGGTACAAGAATCCTGGCTCTCTTTCATCTCCTAGCAACTTTTAGTACTATCAATCATGCCCTCCACCAGGACTGCCTGAAGGCATTAGTCTGTGGATTCAGCACAATGTTCTGGTACATTCTCTTGAAGTCCTCAAGAACAGTCAAAATAAAATTCTATCAAACCAAGAAAGAAGTCAGCCATTCTTCATTATCATTCTTCAATACTCTAATAGCACCATCCATAGTGTAATAATGCATGTATAATGTATGTATAAAAGGAATATTCTTGTTTGAAGTTGAAATGCAGCAATTGGTATAAAGAATGCAGAAATTTGTGGGCATTGAATTGGAAGAAATTTGGAATGTAGAAAATGGAATGCAGAAATTTGTGAGAATTGAACTGGAAGCAAGAATAACAGAATAATAGAGTTGGAAGGGACATTGGAGGCCATCTAGTCGAATCCCCTGCTCAAGCAGGAAACCCTATACAATTTCAGACCAATGGTTATCCAACATCTTTTAAAAAACTTCCAATGTTGGAGCACTTACAACTTCTGGAGGCAAGTTGTTCCACTGATTAATTGTTCTTACTGTCAGGAAATTTCTCTTTAGTTTCTCTCCTTGTTTAGTTTCCATCCATGGCTTCTTGTAGTGGACAGGACCAACATTGATTCCTGCAAGCATGTGGTGTAAAATATTAAACACATGCACAATATTCAGATGTCATAGTGGCTTGTTCCTCTTCTCATCACTATATTTCAATTTACTTCCTAATCTGGTGTCTTCCAAACAAGCTAGATTTGGGGGAGTGCAGGATTCTTCCTTCCCAATTAAGAAATCCTTCTTGTTTGAAAGCCAGAGTTGCTTATAGTGATATCTATATCATACAATAGATATACACTTTTATGAAACAGTTGGTCAAAATTCCTTGCTTTTAATATGGACAATGAAGAATGAATAGGTATGTTTTGGTAAACCTATTGCTTGAAAGATACAATATTATGTATGTAAAAGGGGTAAAGTGGTTCAGTGGCTTAGTAACACTGGATATGGTCTCTGCTCTGGCAGTTTGAGACCTAGCACTCCATGGTGGGGTGAGCTCTTGTCATTTGCCTCAGCTTCTGTCACCTAGCAGTTCGAAAGCATATTCTGTGAGAATAGATAAATAGGTACCATTTTGGTGGGGAGATGAGCCACTGCTTCATTCAGGCAATTGGATTCCTGCCAGCTCTGAACCTTCCTTATGATGCCTGTTTGTGAGGCAGCTCTGATGGAAAGAGAGAACCTTCAGTGACACAGTAAGGAAAGTTGCTACTCTTTCTTTTTGGTGAGATGTAAACTCACCTTCCTGTGGCACACCTTGGAAAGTGTGTGAGCAAGTACCACAACAGCTCCAGTAAATTGGCAGCCAAACTACTACTCTGCATTAACATTGTAGTCTCCTAATAATGCCATACTCTAATAATAATAGTAACATAAATAAACAAGATGGAGACCGTATTTCTTTCTTCTCCATCTCTAAATAATCAAGGATAAGATTCAGTATGGGTGGGTGATTCCATACTAATTGGATCATTAAGGTTATCACAATGAATTGAGTTTATATTGTAATATGTTTCCAATAAAGTTTGTTTTCTAGATCTTTTCCTTGAATTGTAATGCTTGAAAGTTCTATACACTAAAACAATGTGGTACATTGGTTGACATATTGGGTGTCAGGGTTCCAACCAATGCCCTAATTAAATCATGAGCCACAGGCCAAGCTTTAAAAAAAATCAAATTCTTTATTAGGAGCTTCATGTTGGCACGGACTAAATGGAACCAACTCTTACCTCACTTAATTCATGCTTTGGCTCTGACCCTGTTTCTCCCTCCCCCCAAGTTGTGTCATCAGTCACATTCCCCAACAAAGCAATTCACTGTGGGTTCCCATGGAGATGACCTTGACTTTGCTGGCTGGAATGTGCTTTGTTATTGCTCTAGTGAAGGGGATTATAAATTTGCAGATCTGGAGGTTACTATGGTGAATATCTTCATGCTCACCTTGAATTCCAATGGAATGCTGAATGGGAATGAAGGGAACATGGGAAGAAAACCATTCTTGGACATCATTTCCAATGGTTCCTTCCCTTTTATTGAGACTTGAAGGGTCTTTGAAGACTTAATAATATATAGGAGACTCTATTTTGGGGGATAAGATTTGAAAGTTGGTCCAAATAAAAGCAGGCATGAGTCGTGCTGATTACAAATAATATATTCTGGGCATGAACTGTGAATATTTATGGGAATTGAGAAACAAGTATCTCTTGAAATGTTATCTCAAATTTCTGTAGAAACTGGAGCATTGTATCAGTAAAAGTTTTACATTTTCAATTTCTCCAATTGAAGAGGAATTGGAACTAGACAAACCACAAAAGAGTTGCATAGTTTATACTTGCTGGTTTGCCTCCAGAGGACCTCTTAATTTGGGATGCACTTGAAATTTTATCCAGAGGTTATCAGCCTTAAGTATTTTCTAGCTACAGTGTTTGAATGCTCATGGGAAATTAAAGGCAAACATCCTTAGAGACTGTATTATAAGCTTCTGTAGAGAAGAAGAAAATCAACTTTCTATGATGCAATCTTCTGGAAATTCTTTAAATGTTAAGGAAATTAATTTTTCATGAAGTCCATTTTCCCTATCCTCAAGATATGATGAATCATTTTCTATGTTTCTACAAAACATTGTCTTTGGGAATGGATGCTGAGATGTAGTAAAGGTACTTGATAAAGAGAAGAAAGAACAACTCAAGGTAAGGGTGAATAGCTCTTTAGATCCATCTATTTTACAGAATAGAATAGATAGAATTCTTTATTGGCCAAGTGTGATTGGACACACAAGGAATTTGTCTTGGTGCAAATACTCTCAGTAAAACTCAGTAGAATGAGCACATGGAACAGAATTTCATTGCTAAAATAACCATGATTTCCTAGCATATATTTTCAAATCTACCTCCACACAGAGAGAAACATCATGGCTATTATATTTTTAGAGCCCTTTATTTACTTTTATATTTCTATCACAGCCCATGTTTTGTTTTTCAGTATTTTACTCTTCTTTTCTTTAGATAATTAACAATGTAAAGAAGATTCCTGCATGGGTATTTGGGAGACTGTCAATCCAGAATTCCCAAGTCCTAATTTACATCAAAATATTTCAACTGTAGGTTATATCTACCAAATATGTCATTCTATTTTTAAGATTCTCCAAATGACAAATTTCTAACTGACAAATTTCACACATGACACTAATTTCAAATAGTGTTTTGTTGTTCTTGCTGTGACCTCATGTGTTTTGGGATTTCAGTTATAGGCCTTTAGTCCTCATAACTGATAATCAAATATATGTATTTAATTTCAGCTACTATAGCTACACACAAACTTTGTTTTTGTTTGATATATAAATTAACTGTTATGTTCTCCATGTTGAACTCATAATACTAATTTCTGAAAGAGGATTTTACAGGTTTGGCTAAGTCTTGGTTATTTTGATTTTAAAATCAAGTCTTGTGTTCTCTCTCTTGAAATAGTGTATTTCTGAAAAAGATCTTCAGAAACCTTGACTGAATGAAGATTCCACATTTTCTCTTTTGGTGATAAAAGGGGAAGATGAATTTGACCAATTGCACAAGAGCAACTCAATTTATTCTTGTTGGATTGGCAAGTGTTTTGGGACTGGAAAGTATAATGTATGCCAGCATCTTTCTGCTCTACATCCTGAGTCTGATAGGCAATGGGCTCATCATTTTGATAGTAATCATGGACCGACATCTCCAGAAGCCCATGTATTTCTTCCTTACCAACCTTTCTATAAAAGACATTGGATACACCACGGTCTTTATACCCAAGCTGCTGGTTAATTATCTCTCTGCTAATAATTCCATCTGTTTTTATTGCTGTGTGATACAATTGTGCTTCTACTTCTTTTTTGGAGTCACTGAATTTTTTATCATCACTTTGATATCCTTGGATAGATATGTAGCCATTTGCTATCCTTTGAGATACACCAACATTATGACCTCAAGGGTCTGCCTTAAACTGTCAATAGCAGCCTGGTTTGGAGGATTTTTATCCATAATTTGCCAGGTAGCAATGATTGCAAACCTACCCTACTGCACTTCCAACATTATCAATCATTTCTATTGTGATGTTGGACCTGTGCTGAAAATTGCAGGAGGAGATACACATCCCATTGAAGCCCTTGGCTTCCTTGTTGCTGTGCTTGTCATTTTGTCCTCCCTGATTTTCACCCTCATTTCTTACCTCTTCATCCTATACACTATTCTTCGAATGCCTTCAACCTCCAGACAGCAGAGGGCCTTTTCGACATGTGCTTCACATCTGGTTGTCGTCAGTCTTTTGTACGGGTCAGTCTTTTTTGTCTACTTAAGACCGACTGTCAAAAATTCTTCCTTTAGTATGATGAAGTCTGTTGCCATACTGTATACTTTCATCACCCCTGTGCTCAATCCTTTCATCTACAGCATTAGGAATAATGAGGTGAAAGGTTCTGCATCAAAAATCATAGAAAGAATGGTTCCAGGTCTCCGAAATTTCTAATTATTGCCAACCCTAACCCGCATTTAAAAGAAATGGGAGAGATCCCATTTGTAATAGATTTCTTGTACATGAAATGTGAACCTTCTCTGTCTTTTGAAGGATTCTTCTATGTTGGGGTGTGCCAAGATTGTTGAGTTAGATCTTATACTTGAATTGAGTCTTACACTTAGGCAAGAAAACCCCAAAGTACACATATAGACTGGATAAAACCAGGTTTAATAGCAGTAACTGTGAGAGGTATCTTGGAGTCTTAGTGGACAACCAATTAAATATGAGCCAACAGTATGCAGCAGCGGCCAAAAAAACAATGCAATCCTAAATTGCATTAAAAGAGCGATACAATCAAAATCCAATGAGGTACTAATACCACTCTATAAAGCCTTAGTAAGATCATACCTAGAATACTGCATCCAGTTTTTGTGATCGTACTATAAGAAAGATGTTGAGACTCTAGAAAGAGTGTAGAGAAGAGCAACCAGGATTATTAGGAGACTGGATGCTAAAAAATATGAAGAATGGTTGCAGGAACTGGACATGGCTAGCCTAGTAAAGAGAAGGACCAGGGGAGACATGATAGCAGTCTTCCGATATTTGAGGGGCTGCTACAGAGAGGAAGGGCTAAAGCTAGTTTCCAAGGCACCTGAAGCCCAGATGAGGAATAATGAATGTAAACTATTCAAGGAAAGATTCGATCTGGAAATAAGGAGAAATTTCTTGATAGTGAGAGCAATCAACCAAAGGAATAGCTTGCCTTCAGAAGTTGGAGGAGTTTCATCACTGGAAGCTTTCAAGAAGGGACTGAACTGTCATCTGTCAAAAATGGTGTAGGGTCTGCTTTGGAGGGGAGTTGGACTGGCTGACTTACAAGGTCCCATCCAACTATTTTAATCTGTATCAGTTATTTCACATTGCCTTCCTTAACAAATAAGAAAGAGCGAACAACATCCAAGTGGAAGGCAACATTTTCCCTCCCACCCACCAATTTGATGAAAGCTTTGTTGAGAAGCCTCTACAAATGCTCTTTGGGATAAAATATGTTACCAGTGTTCAGTTGGGTTTCAGAGCTGGACATAAAACCGAAGCTGCATTGAAGATGCTTGTCAGTATTAAAGTTATTTATTTATTTATTTATTTATTTATTTATTTATTTATTTATTTATTTATTTATTTATTTATTTATTTATTT